CTCGGGGGGGGGGGGTGTCGGTTTCCTCAGAAATGTCCTTAAAAAGGAGTCTTCCCTTGTCGGTTTCCTCAGAAATCGCCTTAAAAAGGAGCCTTCCCTTCACATGTTACTGCAAAGACCCGCTGCTCTACCCTTCACAATAAAAATAAAATAATAAAAATGCATCCCGGGGTCTGCAAGGTACTGTTTGTCTTGCTCCATGGCTATCAAGAAAGGTATTTACACTGCGCTTTCCTGAAATTGTACTTCTTTTTTTTTTTTCCCCCCTGCTTTTCCTTTTGTTACTCAAGCTCGCCGGCTCTCACACCCCCAGCCCTACCTTTGCCATTAATAATTTTGCTAATTTCAGTGGGTTTGGGCACATCAGGTTCTCCTCACACGGGGGTGCCTCTGCCATCCAGAAGACAGCGTGCGACGGATGCTACCAGGCGATACGTGTAGATACCTTTTCATTTTTTAAATTTTTTTAATTTTTTTTTAATTTTTTTTACCCCTCCGTTGGTTAAAAGAGCTGACAAATAGCAGCACGTTGACACTTGTACGTCTCTGGGGAGTTCTCAGAAGGCATCCAAACATTCAGGTTTTCAAAGCTTCGCATTACCCAAAAGTATTAAGTGAATTTTTCCCGAGGCCACTAAAACAAACTAGTGCTCCCACTTTCGCAGCTCCCCAGCCAACCTCTTGGGGATTTTTTTTTTTTTTTGGTGTTTTTATTTTTTAATCTGCTGAAATGAAGTTTCGTATCTTGCCTTCTAAAGGCGAGGTTTGCTTCCAGTCACACCGCTGGGATCGGCGGAGTTCTGCTGGGTGGGTGCCCGGGTCAGCGAAAGGAGAAGCTGGCTCTAGCCAGGGCTCACAGCGTTTTTTCTGTTTTCAGAAAACGCAGTTTCAATGGCAATCTCTCACAACTCTTGATTTTGTGTTGCCGGTATCGCGTTCGGCGCTGTGACCGTCGTTTCACATAACGTCGCCCGCTGCCTCTGTGGGTTTCTGCTTACTGCTGTTTGCTTTCCCTCACAGATTTCTAAATAAAATTTATTTTAGCACAGCGCTGTTGCCGCTGTAGAAGTGATAACGCCTAAATATAGGAATGCAGTGTAAATATTTATAAAATTCCATTTATGAGGCAGGCTTTTCTAGGTGCCTCCCCAGGGCAGCAGCACGTGTAGGGGTGTGTGGGGGACTGGGAGGGCAGCTGTGCCAAGAATTCCTGCGGGAAGAGGGTGAGGGGGCTTCAGGAGATTTATTCTGGGGAGGGCCGTTTTAAGTTTGGCAAGGGTCCCCACAGAAAGAGGACTTCTGGTAAGATCAGCCAAGCTGAGGTGTTGCATCGCTGCCCCTGACAGACCGTTTCTGTTCATTTTGCAGGCAAGGTTCTTCATCCCGGGTCGCTCGGCACTGCAGGTAACACACATTGCCCTGCATCTCCTCTTTCTTAAGTTGGCTCCCGTTACACAAGAATCACAGAATGATATGGGGTTGGAAGGGACGTCTGGAGATCATTTAGTCCAACCCCTCTGCCAAAGCACGTCCACCCAGAGCAGGTTGCACAGGAACATGTCCAGGTGGGTTTGAATGTCTCCAGAGAAGGAGACTCCACCACCTCACTCAGCAGCCTGTTCCAGGGCTCTGCCACCCTCAAAGTAAAGAAGTTCCTCCTCGTGTTTAGATGGAACTTCTTACGTTCAAGTTTGTGCCCATTTCCTCTTGTCCTGTCCCTGGGCACTACTAAAAAAAACCTGGCCCCATCCTCCTGACACCCACCCTTTGAGTATGTACAAGCATTGATCAGATTCCCCCTCAGTCTTCTCGTCTCCAGACTAAAGATACCCAATCCTTCAGCCTTTCCTCATAAGAGAGACGTTCTTGTCCCTCCATCATCATTAGCCTTCATGGGGCTTATTTACATGAATATGTTTGGATGAAGGAAGAAGTATAAGGATATTTTTCTTGGATACTTCCTGTCCTTATTGCAGATCTGTCTTTTTCTGAAATCCCTGGTATAAAAGATGCTAAGAGACTCCTTCATCCCTGCTGTGTGGACGGTGTTGGGCAGGACCCTCAGAAAAGTCTATTTGCCTGTTCCCTAGAGTCAGTTTGTAGGATGATGAATCTGGGAAATATACACAACTTTCTTCTCTGCTGGCTATTGGGCCTGGTATCCCTTGCCCTTGGTCTAGTATTGAAATGTCAAAGCACAGGTAGATTATGACTTTTCAGACTTAATTTAAAGACCAAAGCTCAGTCTGGCGCATAAAAGTCTACTAAAACTACCCGTCCGTTTGTTGATTTGTGGTAAATAAAATTCTTTGCACAGGATCCTGCCTGTGTAGGACTAACACAGCCTGTGCTTGTGAGGAAGATGGGGTGTTCCCAGGTGCTTGAACACGATTGTTGGCAGAGCCCGGAGCGCAGCGACCTTTCCTGCTGTGCCTCCGAGCGTGCCACCAGCTCGGTGCTGCTCGCCGGTGGATGTAGGGCTGGCAAGCATCCTTCCTGACTGGTTGCCTGTGTGCAGCCACCCCGCCGTGGGGACCAGGAGAGCTCCCATCTGGAGTTGTGAAGCAGTTGGGCTTGAGAGCCCACACGTGCTCAGTTCCCTAGTGTAGAGTGGATGCAGGCATAATTCCTGTTATTTTATGAACAGTGGCAGGTGTCCTTCAGCCTTCATCCTCCAATCCGTGATTGCCTGATTCCGTGATTCATAGATCTAGTTCATACTGCAAAGACTTTGGCATCCCAAGCTCTGTCTTCCAGTGTAGTAGAGAATGACTTACAGTGTCATCGAGGCCTTTGAACACATCACTAACATGGTAATATATACCGTAAGAGTGGTGACTGCGGTGAGGATGGTCCAAACAGCTCAATAAATGATTAAGAACTACAGCTTTCAGGCTGGGCTTGACACTGATTTGCATGGCCTTGAGCAAGTCAGTTGAACAGGGCCACACTTTCTCCATCAGTAAAGTAAGAAGCTACTTCACAGGTATGCCGGAGGATTAATTAGGTTTTCTACAGCATTTGAAAGCTGTTAAACATTAATGCTTATTAGGATGAACAGCCACGTAAAGTGAATGACCCAGTGTTTCAGTTATTTATAGAGGTAGTGTTCCTTGGATCATGGATATACAAACACCATATAAACTTCACTTTCACTCCTTATTTCAGCACAAAACCTGCTTCTCTCCTCTACCTGAGCGCAGTTATTTTCCACTTTTCCACTTTTACCCTGTCTCAGAAATAAATAGCAACAGGGGAATTATCCGTCTTTCTGTCGCAGGATGGAGTGATAAGGCAGCAGCCTTCCTGCAATGAAGAACCCAAAATGCTCCAACTATTCCAGTTCTTCCCCTTGTTCTCCCCCAGCCAAATAATAAGCAGTTAGAGAATGCTAATTCTTCCTACCTACATAGATGTTATAACCCCATGGGAGGCCATATGCATTGCTGGGGAGATGGAAAGATGGGCAGAGTCTGGGCAAGAACTTGAGTAGTGATACTTTTATTTCCTGTAACTTAAAAGTCTTTGCTTCTGCCATGTTTATTTTTTCTTTTATTTTTATTGAATAAAGATGTGTTCCCAGACTGATTATTGTAAGGCAATCATTGAACAGTTGCCATCACTGTCTGCATATTTAATTTTGGGTCTGTGCTGTCATAGAATTATATGGGGTTGGAAGAGACCTCTGGAGATCATCTAGTCCAAGCCCCCTGCCAGAGCACCTAGAGCAGGTTGCACAGGAACTTGTCCCTGTGGGGTTTGAATGTCTCCAGAGAAGGAGACTCCACCACCTCTCTGGGCAGCCTGTTCCAGGGCTCTACCACTCTCACAGTAAAGAAGTTCCTCCTCATGTTTAGGTGGAACTTCTTATACTCAAGTTTGTGCCCATTTCCTCTTGTCCTGTCACTGGGCACCACTGAGAACTGTCAATCCTCCCATGTTTGTCATACAAATTATAAACTTTTGTTTGCATTGAATATTTTTTGTATTGAATTTCTGAATAGATCATTAATGATAAGCTATTTCTAAAATAAAAGCTCAACAGTTTTCAAATGTTATTTTTGTTTAATGACTTCCTGATTATTATTGATTTTCAAGGACATTTTTGTCACATTAAAAATGATCTTTCTCAAGCTCCAAACTTCCATAACCTTTTGTCCCTCCCCTTTTTGTTCTTGTGTAGTTTGATACACTTTCAAATAAATGTTTAAGCTGGAGGTGAATTAAGCCCAAATAAAAATGATAATACCAATACTGATAGAAAATCTACCCTGTTTTAAGAGTCAGCATGTATACAACTTCAAAATTCATAAAGAAATTACTATTGAATCACTGCATTTTGTCTCTTAAGCAGATGCAAAAAGATATGTGAACAACTACCTTGAGGTAATCGTTTATATTAGTATGTGATACTGTTCCCTTGGTTTCTTTTGTCTGCCTTCCAAAACAGCTTATACAGCTTTTGTGTAGTTGCCTGTGATTGTTCACTTTCTCTGTTCAATTTTAGAACAGCACCATTGCATAGAGGCAGAGGTTTTCACTTGTCTCACTTCAGGGTACATCTGGAAAAGAACTGGATTTTTTGCCCCCCCCCTCTAATTTTGCAAATGTCATGAGTTTATGGGTATAAATAGCCACACAATGTTTCAGTCCCTTTTCTTGAGGCCTTAGTGCACGCAGCAAATCTTCCTTTCAGAAGCAAAGTGATGTTACAGTTCGATACTCAGCCTCAGCACAGCACGTCTCTTGAGTCTGGAGCTTTATGTTAGTTACAACATTGAGGATCAAAATTGTTCCTGCTTGGAAAATCTTGTTCTGTGCTGATCTGAGTCTGGCCATACTTCAATTGATGGAAACTTTTGGAACATTGATGGAAATACTTGTCCTACCTTTATTTGTCCATCCCGACAGTTTTGCTCACAACCTGTTGCGTTGCGTTTTTCTTGGTAATTACAAAGCATACAGTTTCTATGCCATATCATTTAGATGTTGTGCAGAGCTTGCTAGTTTAATCCAAGAGTAATTATTTTACTGTTGACTTTTAAAAAAAGTGAATTACACTGATGTCAGTATACATTTTATTCTAATCATTACTAATCTCATTCAAAATACTCTGTATTCCATACTGTATTTTTCAGTTTGATACATTTCTAGTTTCAGACCACTTGCTGCCTTCCTGCAAATTTAACAGGGCATTTTGTGACGTGCTGATGGAAACATACTGTATTCATCTGAATGGATATCCATCTTAGGTCGTGCAGTATATCAGCAAGTGAATTATTCATTTATTCTGAAGCAACCATTTAAAGGAAGAGAGCAGCATTCAGTAGCCCTCTGTGTGGAGCTCCTGGCCACACCTTGGCCTGTGCTAACAGGGAGTCAGAAGCTTTGTTTGCTGCTGTCCTTTGCCTGGTATTTCTTTCAGAGCGTGACGGAGCACACAGTGGTTTTCTTCCACGAATCCTAACCAAGCGCCGTGAAAATGTGCCCATAAAGGCTAATACCCTTAAAAGTACACATAGCACGAGAGAGTGCAAAAAAATGAAATCGTGTAGAGCAAAGCCAATGGTGCACCACCCCCCGGGGTGCTCAAATTGTTCTACTTACTGTATTTTCCTGTGGCCAAACACTTTTCTGTCATTTCGGCATGTGTTCACGGATGAACCTTGCTACAGCTTTTTACAACATTGCAGAGTTTTGCTTTTCAGAAAAGCCATTGCAGTTTGACTTTGGGATCCATTTTACCTGCTAGTTCTAGGCTGATGTCTTAGCACTTCACATAAGCCTCCTACAGTAGGTGTTTTAAAAATAGGCACAGATAACAAACGTTCTACTGGTTCTTACATTTAGATTTTTCTAGTTGTAATTGTTACATCTCAATAGCTATCAGCTCATATCTGGCAAAATATGTCGACAAAGCAGTATGTTTCAGAGATCAGGCTTGTTATTTCAGGCATAGCACATTCAAATCCAGGCACATCTGTGCTGGCTTGTTCTCAGAGCATTGTACTGTAGCAGTGTGGTCTCAGACAGCCCTGGGTCGGGACTAACTTGGAATTGTCAATGTTGTGTTTTAATTTTACAGACAAACCTGAAAATTCAAGAAATAGTCCATGGACTGCATGCAGCTGGTCAGCAAGTGGAACCCAAACTGCGGGTCATATATCTCGCATTCCTGAGGAAGGCTGTTGTTAGATAATTGCCAGCCATAAACTTTTAAGTGTAGTTTAGATGAAAAAAAAGATAAAGAGGTAAGTTTCAGTCACAGAGGTGACTTAGCACACAGGAGGCAAGTGGGAGCGTGCTTTTCATATAATACTGCGTGGCAGCTGTAGCTGCCACAGTGCCTGTTCTTCCAGAAACAGAGCAGCAACTGCACGGGCATAAGTGGACACAGGGCCCAGAAAATAGACCAGCCATGCAAATGGTGTATTTTTCCAAAGGAAATGTTGCAAGAGTCAAATCATAATAACAAACTGAAAAAAAAAAAAAAACCCAACATGTAAAAACATTCATTTTATTTGCTTTGAAATCACTGCTTGTGATTTTCCATACGTGATTTTTCATATGTGTCTTTGTCCTTATCAGTATCCTCTCTGATAGATTAGCTGTCTTTTTTAGTATATAATAGTTAATTAAGCAGCACCAGCATTTTTCCTCTGTTCTGAGAGCTGAAGTTTATGTCCCTGAAAGGCCGTGGCAAAACACCTCTTTGCCTTCAGGATCGTTGGAACAAGTGGTACAAGAAAGCTCTGTCAGTCTTACTTAAAGACTGTAGTTCTTCAATTTGAGTTCCATATTATTGCCTATATTTGAATGCTAGAGAAACCTGTCAGTTTATACTTTTCTATATTTATAATTTATGCCTTCACATAAAGCACACATGGATTCTCTCCTGAGCCTGTAACTATTGCGTGATTCCATTTATAGGTATAATCTACAGTTATGTTATTTTTTTAAGCAATGTAAAAGTATCCTCAGTTTTGAAAGCTGATTTGTTAGTTATTAATTTTTTTTCCATAAGAAGAGGCAAAAAATTAGTTACAAAGGACAGTGTTTTTTTCCGTTTTGAATTTGAAAACATGTTGCATGTAATGATTTTCCCTGCTTAGTTAATTACAGCTACCTTCCATAAGGGTTCTCAGTAATGAATGACTTTAGGTTTATGCAGCATATTTCTGACTGTTGATGGGCAAAAATTTGCACGTTGACAAATATCCTTGTATTTTTGCAGCTGTTTAGGTATCCTTTGGATGTTTGCATAGGTGCTTTTACAGGAGCTCGGGAAAGGAAAATATTCTGATAAGAATGAACAAACAGGAAAATGTGATTGCAGTCGTCATACCTCCAGAACTTCCTCAGAGACACATGATGTAGCCCATGCAGGCTAATCCCAGCCGCTGCATGGAGGATGGTCTTTCGTTTCAAGCCTGGGTCATTTTTCATGCTGTTTACCCTGACACTTTTAAACAAACGGTTAATCACAGTATGGAGGAATATATCGTTTTCATTACTTTCAATACAATGATTTCTCAGTTTGTGATAATCAGTTGCAATGACTTAATATAAGCCACCCACCTATATCTTTTATTTAACTACAGGACATTTCTGTCAGACATAGCTAATAGGTGTTCCTGTAAATGAAATTACATGCATAGCCTATAAAAATCAACAAAAGACTATAATTCATATATTACTCCTCAGGTTCATATTCTGCCCTGATAGTAGAAATTGATATCCTTGCTTAATACAGCAATTCAAGAGTAAAATTTAAATAGAGTATTTCTAGATGGAGCTGTAATATAGGTAACAAATACCTATACATTGGCCTTTTCAAGGAATACTGGTATAGTGGTGCTCATAAAATAATAATAATGGAAATTATTTAATTTCTAATTTTAAAATTCCACTTAAGTTTTCAGTTACCAGGAAATAATAGTCTACTCTTTTTGACCTATATTTTTGAATTAACATCTTCATGAATGGTGTCATTGAAAACTGAAAAATCAGGAAAGGAAATACAGTTTCATTTAACAGATGTGAGTTTAGCTGAGATGTAGCTAGATCTAATTTCAGGGACATCAGATCTGCATAAAGCCAGTAATTTTTTAAAACGGCTGCTCACATGCTGCCAACAAAATTTGTGTATACACTTACTGACTGTACGGAATCCAGTATTTGCATGCAAAATATATTTGCAAAATTGGTAACTGTGTCTGAGGTCATATTTACACATCTAAAGTATCCATTCTGTATATGAAGATTCCTGTTTCCTTATGTATATACTCCCGTGAAACAAGTTCCTTCAAGTATTACACTGGGATAGTTTAGGTGTCCTGTTCTTCTACTTACAGATTAGTTCCTGTATGTCCTCTGTCTCCTAGGATGAGTTTTTCAGTTAAGAAATGCTTCTAATCTGGAAAGAAGCAATAAAATGTTAAAATCCAATATGCTAAAACCAATTCTTAGCTATTTTTGTTATAGGATGCAAGGACTTAATTAAGCCACAATTTTTACTCTTTCCATTATTCTTCTATTTGTTGCTTATGATAGTATTTACTTGCGTGAAAGTGATTTATTTAAGTCAGTTGCATTTCTGTTGTTGACTTTGAAATCAGTGTCACTGTAAGAAACTACCAGGAGTAGGATCATAAGTAGCCCATAGGTTTAAGGTGTGGTATAACTCATTCCAGAGTAACCTAAACGTAATCACACAGTGATTACTTTGCTGTATTTTAACTAATGTGGATCAAATGCGGAGAGGTATTAAACAGGAAATTACCAGTGGACATCCCACTATTCTTTTTGATTTTAAGTCAGAGATACCTGAGGATCTAATGGTAATAGTGAAACCCCTGCTGAACCTAATTACTTTAAAAGGAGTATGTCAGGTATGCTTCAGCACAGGTTCTTGATGACTAGGAAGGTGGGAGGTTCAAACGTGTTACACCTGGTGCACGTCATCTGCTTCGTGAAGGCAATTATTGCAGCAGCAGTTAAAAGTTAGTTATAAATAATATTAGTCACACTTGACGTTTAAATCATAATTTACACACACTGTTTGTATTTAATCTAAGATTTTCCAAGGTGTGCTGGTATAAGGTTAGTTCATCTGCTGTTTTTGCAGCTCCCATAAGTATCTTCGCAACCTTCACTGACATAGCACAGGTTGCAAGGTTATCCCTTTCCTCACAGTCAGCAATTATACATTGATTTTTCTATTTGTGCATATGTAGAGCGGTGAAAGGTGCAAGTGTTTAGAGAATTGTGTCAATCACAGAGTATATAATAAGAATGCGCAAACCTTTGGCTCTATTCTGAACATTTACTATGTAAACAGTAATATATACATAGAATTTATAGCAGGAGCAGGGTCTAGCACTGGGAATAGAAAGTTTGGGAAGGTTAAATACGGTATCCTTCTAATTCCTAATATCCTAATATCCTAGCTAATGAGAAACTGCAGCGCATGTGGTGAGAAGGAGTTTGTGAAACAAGGAATAAGCACGTCCAGCCCCTGCACCAGGGGAGCATGGAGGTGATGTGATGGAGCATTCCACTGTCAATAATACCAAGAAAACAGTTTAATTGTACTTCAGAAAGAGGAGGGAGCAGGTGATCTTGGTATAATCCAGTTGTTTTTCTGAGAGGCTTTGCTTTCTGAGAAAAGCAGGCTGCAGCTGGAAGAGCGCCGTGAGGTAAAGGTGTCCCTGCATTTGGTGGTTAGTGGAGGGTCAATGTAGAGCCCAGTGGACACTGTCCATCTCTCTGATAGGGAAGGTTCAGGACCAGAGGTTCTCCTCTGAGGCTTGTGAGACAATCTCCAGCCTATTTTCAACAGAGCTGCAGCACATCAGATACTTTTCTCTCTAGGGAACAAAGGATTCTGGCTGAATTCATGCAAGATGATGGTCAGCCATTCTGAGAGGGGTAAAGTCAGATTGGCAGGTTTCAAACAAGATTGAAGTCACCTTTCTCATGGAATTAGAGCTGGCAGTGGGAGTGGGTTTTCATGGATGTATATCTATGTAGGATTTTGAGCATACTGCTCCATCATTTAAAATCTGTTTTTCCCTCTAGGAAGAGACCTCTCTTTAGAGACAGATTAGCTCACGTTAACATCTGCACAGGAAAACAGTGTCCCTTCTCAGTGGCAAAGGATGCTTCTTAACATTTGTGATTCTGAGTTTTTGTGTGTGAGTAGGGGAATTGTGGACTGACAGATCACCTGCCTCGGTTACCTCCTGCCCTTAAGAGTCTTACCTTTAAGTGTCTGACAATTCCACGCCTCAAGTTAAAGCAGATGCTAATTGAAAAAGTTATGGGCTGGTGTGTGTGAGACATTTACAGCGGTGCTCATGATGCTGTTCCAGTCTACAGCTTAAGTACAACTCACATTTCTGTAACTCGGATTTCCTCTGGAGGAATTTATTCTTGTGGGAATGAAAAGTAATTTGCATAAATTTGTTTAATTACATCTGTGCCAAACTTTCTAGCAATTCTGCATTTGCCTTCCTGCTTTGCTTTCTCACCTTTCCAAGCCCTTTACTGTCCTAACCAGCCAATCCACCTATTGGTATCACCTTTATTTCCCAGGGAACAGAGTACCTGGACAACAGGAATGCCTGACGTGATCTTCTTGTCTGATGCTGGGGTTTGGCCATTCTCAGCCTTTTTCTATGCCACAGGTTTGATATCAACATAGGTAGAAAATACACTATTTTAGTTAGACCCCTTTACCATACCTCTTCACCTAAGCTAAGATCATGGATTGTATCAGAACCTATGAAGAAATTCAAGCAAATCCTACTTACCAGATACAGAAAATGTGGCATATTGGGGAACAGTACCATTTCAGTGGAGAAGCAAGGTCTCAGGTGAATTTTTATGCCATGCCATATTGAAAGTAAATGCTGGCAAGAAAGTTAAACAACCAAGCAATTCCATAAGCAGCAATTATCAATATGTACTGTACATTTCTATGCATCCATGCCTCCTGCATCTTCCCACATCATCACCATCTCTTCTCTAAATACTGTCTGAGGAGGAGAAAGCAAAAGATTTAACTTGTTCTGAACCACTTCTGGACTATGTCATTGAAAGTCTCATGCAGACTTGAGCCCCTTCTCTTGGCCAGAAGGGAGGAGAGTCTTTTCACCTTACCTTAGTTTCCTAAAATTTGTGGAAAAGTAGTTTTTTCCAAGTCTTGGTAAAGACTTGGTGAACTGGGCAATTATGACCAAAGGGTATTGGAGGAGGCAGACATTTTAACACACGCATACAGCATGATCACATATTCTTAGAAAGCAAGGCTATTAGAAATAATGTTTATTGAATGCTATAGATACTATTATTTGCTTATGCAGTACATGGATTTTTCTGTTCATGGAAGGAATTACTTATTTCAGTACTGTAACATATCCAAAAAAACTTACCAATCAGTAAAATCTTAGTAAGCCACTTATTTATTAACATCAAATTTAGGCTATTTTATTCAGCAGGAACTTCCATCTGTGTTTCTTCACCTTACTAAAAAATATTGCAGCAATATGAAAAATTCATATTGGTGTTGTGTCACATGAAGTATTTTACAAGCTACCAACTGCTTAAGCTCCTTAATTGGTGAAAATCATTGAACAACTGTGGTCATGGTAAGACAAACTTTAAGCCAGCACCACAAGATGCAGAAAATTATATTTTAGATGCCAAAAAATGCCATAGTAGAGCTATAGGAACTATCGATATTCATTTCCCTTTCCTAAATATGTGAGGGTGCCTTCCAGAAACCCAGAACATCAGCATTGTGTTGGGTGGTTGCTGGGCCAAGATAGACGGAACATCTGGAAGGAGGGTTGCTCAGCTGTGTCATGAAACCCATTAGCCCATCAATCAATGCCAACAGAGGGTGAAGATGGAACCATTGTCCTCTTAGTTTACTATTTTTGTGTCTTTGCCTATATCTTTCATCATGTCTTCCGTGGCCATAAAAGCATCTTCTTGGCTCTGCAAAGTTGTCTTCTTTGATTTTCAGCTTTCTGTGCTCATAATTCAGGGCAGGTTTTGTTTTCTGCCTGGAGAATCCTGATTGCACTCACTGTTTACCCATCACTTTCCCAAGAGCATACCCCTCTATCATCCTGCATCCCCTTTTGTGACAGTTAATTCTTTTCTAATCATCTGATAAAAGGTCTCATCAGCCGAAGTACTGCTAAAGGACAGGAAAAGTCTTCTGGAACAGCCGAGGGATGCCAGCACTGCAGGACTTTCTCTAACAAGCCAGTCTTTTTCCATTACAAAGAATAGGTGAGAATGCCTGGAAATGTTCAATTACAGGGTTTCTAGGCTAACCTGCAGTAATGTTTGCTTACAAAAGCGACTTTAGAACACATTGAAGTGAACTCGAACATAAATCCCTAAACGAACTCTGGGTGTATATGAACTCTCTATAAATACACCCTAGTATATGTGAGGGTTTGGAGGGATTATAGATAGAGTGTGGGTTCTGTTAATCGCATGAATGTGGCTGGAGGACTGTATGTTTGCAAATTATTGTTGACAAGTAGAAGTTGTCAAAAGCCCTGCGACAGAAAACCACCTCTTTGGTGGCCACGCACAACTCTGCTACAGCCATCACAAGAAGTTAAGTCCATCCACGTCAAATTGGTCAGTTCCTGCTGGGCAGCAGCAGTGACCAGGGGCTCATAGTTCTGAGAGTCATGATAAATGACTCACGTTGGCTTCTTGTCTTATGTAGGCTAAAATTTCTGCATGTCTTCAGGAAGGTGCTTTCTATAATGTTTTCAGAATTTGGCACAAACAGGCTGCTGGGTAGGTTGGGGTAGATATTCCCACACATGTAGTAGAAGCAATCAGCGTGAGATGATACCCACTCATGACATTTGTCTGTACTTCAGGGGAAAACCCTGCCTGGGGAAGCAATGACTCTTGTGTGGCCTGGGCCAGCTAGGATTAAATGCTGACATTAATACTCACATTTTCAAATAGTTACGTAAGTATAGTAAGACCATCAGTTGAAACAATGGAGAGGAAAAGAAAGAAGGAAAAAAAAAAGATTGAAGTTCTTAATGCATAGAAATACTATAAATATTTTGCTTCAGTTAGTAGTGTAATTGACTATAATGACACATCTGATGATAGATATCTGTAATTTCTCTCCAATTGTCAGATTGAAAAATAGACAATTAGAGTATTTTCACTCGGCCTGTAACGTGGTTGGATAGAGTATTAAGATTTCTTCACCCTGGATTATCTGGTGTAATGCTGAATAAGTGGGCAGAATTCACACAGTTCCTTAAAAATCCATGCAATGCTTCAGGTTTACGCACTCAATAAAGCTCTTTCAGCACACAAAGGAACTGATTCAAATAATGCACAGACCACCAGCCTCAACCATTTCTCCAAGTTCTCAGAAGTGCAGAAAACAAGCACAAAAAACCAATCTTCAGTTACCTTGTTGGGTGTCACATAATTCCACGT